ACAAGGATTAATATGAGATCAAGCATGATATGATATGCTATTCTAATAGGATATCGTTTGCGAAAGAATTTAATAACAACATTTCGACGTTTTTACTCGAGCAGTGATATTAAGGCGAAAAGTAAGCGTTGACTAAAGTAAGCATTTGGACTAAACTGGCAAAATTCATCATTCTTTCGACATTGATTTTAAATGAGATTTGGCTTGTATGAGGCTTCAAGTCACAGTTCATTGTCATTTTGTCCGGAATCAGATTCGCTGAGATTGAACTTCTAACTATCTAACTACCACTTTCTCCTGCTCCACAACAGCCGATCAGTAAAGTAGCTGAACACTAGTAGTTCGACATGAGGCTCAATTCCAGAAGAACAGGCTAGTTGCATGCGTGTTTTGATGGTTTTCCCAATGTATACACGAGCCAGTTTTCCTTAGTAAGACCTCCACAAAGGTATTTCTTTCTTAGGCAGATAGCCCTTCTGTGGTTTTCCATAATGAAATAAACCAGAATCTGTCTTTTTCTTTTCATAACTGAAATGCTATGAAGTATTTTTACAACTTCTTCTAAAAACAGATTATAAGCCTCGAAGCCTATAAGCCTTCGATTATTTGCTATCGTCAAGAAGGAATCATACGAAGTTCAGAGCACTTCAAGAAATAAATTATGCGATTTTCTTGCAAAACAAACAAATTAATTCGCACGAGCGAATTCGTTATTGGTTCAGATTTTTGAATGCATTGGGAAGAAAAGGTCGAGCCTCATAAAGGTATACCTGACGACGGATGTAGGTGGTATATAAATCCAGAAAACTATGCTTTTTCTTATTTATTTGTGTCACTTTATTTAAGTAGTTGTTTCTATATGCATTTATTTCTTTTATTTGTTTTAGCTAACTATAAGAATATCCCATAATATGAATATTTTCATTTCTTTGAATATGATTAAAGAAACTATTTAATTAAGGTAAATTATTTTTTATGTAAGGTACGTTTGTGAGCATCACTTAAAAATTCGAAAGTGTTTTAAAATAAGTGTGCAAGGCCTGACTCCTGAACCTTGCGAAGATCTGAAGCCGCTTGCATTCACGTTGTGAGTCTATATGCTTCGTAGAGTGAGATTTAAACGCTCAAAAGAACCCAGAGACCCACGGACTGTGAAATATGATCAGCCATCTAGTTCGTAATAGCAAGAAACATGACAGATGCGGATATTCATCGCCAGACGTGTGATGTAGACAACACAATGAGGGGCACTGAAGTGTGAAAATGATGAAGATCCTTCTTGAAAGGTTGGCAAAGTGATGGAGAAGGAAAAAATTATATTGAATAGATGGTTATCATCACAAGTGGCAGAGATCTGGGAGAAGGATATGCAATAACGCATTGTTTATTGCGATAATGGTTTAAATCTACGAGACAATTACGTAAGAAAACATAGAAAACTATATGTTAGAAAAAATGTATTTAGTCAGAAATTAGAAAACAAATTTTCTATCTTACAAGAGCCAACATTTCCTTCGTATGAACTCTAACATAGTACTCAATTGACTAGAGCTAGGCAATAAAAAGAAATTGATTGGCATCATTAAAAAACGAAAGGGATCAGGACCGTTGAACAGTATCCAAAAGAGGGCTTTGTATATTCTTATACACATCTGATGAGACAATCACTAATGGAGGTTCTGAAGTGTTTGTTATTACCCTAGGAGGTACTACTTAACTGGCGCTGTAGTCCTGTCTCTAACTTCACTTGTGAGCTTCTGGCATAGAGGAGGCACTTGGAATGTTTAGAGCCCTTCCCATTTCTGAGCAAGCAAAAGGACTCTTTGTCTTCTGTGACACAAACGTAGTTTTACAGGAAATCATGGATTGAACTACAGGCTCTACAGGCAATCATGGCTAGAAGTTCTAAGATCACCAACTGGATCCACTTTCGTTTAAACGAGCTACACTGGCAAAAGAGGCTTTAAGTAACGTAAATGTCACCTTCTCGGATGCAAATGCCATGGCCAAATACACACTGAAGGAATATTCAATTTCAATAAAGCATCAGTTCCATAATGTCAATGGAGAATATAATTAAGACGTAACACATATATAATTAAAGACCTTAAACAATTAAGACAGCTTAACAGCATGAAAATACACATGATTCGAACAAAAAGAAAACAATACATTGATATCACACAATAAAAATAATGTAATAAAATAATACAATAAAATAAATTGTTGAAATTTCTTTGGTCGTTTTCAAGGAGCAGCTAAGGCTTTTCAAGAGAGCCGCGTTCTGAATTATATCTGGATGATTATAAATCTTAAGTAAAGCCTAAATTTATTAAAATAATTTAAGGCTATAAAAGTTTTTAAATAATACAAACAAAGAATGAAATATAATAAAATATAAAATTTCTTTCAATCTTCTTAATAAATCATCAAGATTAAATTTGCTACGAAGTTACTGAAAAAAATACTGTACAAAACGTAAATAGTACATAACAGCAATTCTGAAACAATTAACTAAATAAACAATGAATCAAATTAGACGCAACAAGCTAAATCAATATTTTTTAAAACTGCAGAAAAACTATTACAAAATATGCAATTTTGTGAACCGTTGCGGAACAACTTAATATTAATAATTAAATTATTTGCATCTATCAGTATTTTATAAATTGGATCAACCTGTAAGCGGTACACACACTTACAAAAATAAAATAAAAATTGCAAAGAACTGTGTTATTTAGTAGCTAATTCTAACAATTAATTAACACAATTCTAATTAAAACCCATTTTGATGGAAGATATAAAAGTCCTATGATATTGAAGAACAAACTTATGCAACACGCCCATCGAAAAAGACAGTTCTAAGAAATTTGTTCTGTAAACTGCATTACCGCTTTCAGTACACAGGATGATTCAAAATACATTTTGCAAAATGACATGGCAAATCGGGCATGTCACAAAGATAAACAATTCCATAGCAATGTCGGGTCTTAAATGCCACTATAAGGCGTTCCAAATAATATGTAATTGAACGACAAGAAGCAAAACCATACGAAATCATTTATTTATATAATATTTCGTACATTTGTTCACAAATGTACAAATGTACGAAATACATTGTGTCGCACATTTGTAGTCAGAGGCTACAAATGTATGACCACTGCAGATGAGGCTCAAAGTTTTTTCCAAATGCATCAAGATACACATGACAATGACGCTGCATTGAACAGCGCACTTTCTCAAAGATACCAGATGTATCTTGAACACATCCTGCTGCCACAACAATTCTTCCTACTAAGTCTTTCGGCGATGAAACAGGTGTTTCATATACAAGCCCTTTTAAAAAACCGAAACCACAGAAGAAAAAACGAATTGCAGACTGATCTGGTGACCGTAGTGGACATATTATTGGTTCACAGCGAGCAATCCAGCACTCAAAGTGGCCTGCGGACGTGTTCTGACTTATCTACTCAAATGGGTAGGAGCTCCGTCTTGTTGAGTTCGAATGCGTCGACGAACATCATTCAGCATGCCTGGAAAGGAACATCATTCAGCATGTCTGGAAAGGAACATCATTCAGCCTGTATGGAAAGTAACATCATTCAGCATGTCTGGAAAGAACCTCTTGCAAGAATTTAAGTCAAATGAAACTATCAAATCTTCCTGGGAGAATGTACGGACCAAGAAAACAGTCTCCTACAATGCTAGGCCTCACGTTAAGGGTAAATTTGCGTTGGAAGGCGTGCGTACGTGTGGCATGTGAGTTTTCATCCGCCCAAGTATACAAGTCATGAACGTTCATTACATCCTTTAGTGAGAATGTGCCCTCATCAGTAAAGAGAAATCTTGCTATGAAGTTTCTATCTGCACCACTTCTTGCAAAAAGCAACGCGCAAACTCCATGCGCATGTTGTACTCTTCGGGTTCTAATGCCTGGATGTGATGTAAATGAGAAGAATGCAGTCCTTCGTCGTGTAAAATGGGCAAGACGGAAGGTTGGGGATATTCCAGTCTCGGGATACAACTCATGTACTTGTTGAAGGATTAGGATCCAGTTCGTTTCTGAAAAAACTCTTTGAGTTGTTTGTTGGCAACCATCATCCGGCTCTTGCACGTCGAACGAGCCCGTTTCGCCCAGTCTGCGATACAGAGTGGCAAGGCACCTTTCTATCAGGATATTTCTTATGATACATTCACATGGCTTCTCGTCCATTGCAGTTGGTCAAGCCTTAAATCACATGCATGTCAACCATTTCGTGATAGTAGATATAACCATTTCGTGTTAACTAGCGATGCTACTACCAGCGCATCCACGGCTTAATGAAGACAATATCGGTTTGCTCAGCTCATGTTTGTATAAGCAACACACTCCCGTGGCTATAACGCATTCTAGTGGCTTTTGGAATCCTATATTCCTATGTGATTTTTTTATACTTGTTGTATGCCTAATTTGTCATGTTATTTTGTAAACGTTTTATTGAATCTCCCTGTATAGTCCCAGCCGAACACAGACAGCCGATCCAGTCGGGCCGGAAGTAGAAATCGATTGGCTGAGGAAGATTTCCTACCATCATCTAACTTGCCTCCAACTGGCACTGCATATTGGAAGCCGTCATTTGAACTGGTTCAGAAAAGTTATCTTCTACTATACGCATAAAGTTATACTCTACTCTACCTGCTGCGTATCACATCCTTAACACCGAAAAGTTGTTATCAGACTTAAAAAACGGAGTTAACATTCATTGCTACGGATATTTCTTAGAAACCCGGTTTGCTGTAACATTCTGCAGGTGACTGATAACTGATGTTACGTACTTTCAGAATGACTGACTTACATGCAACACAACGTCGAACGCAAAGGTTTCTCTTTAGGCATAAAATGTTGCGAACTATTTTTTAAATTGGTTTTGGAAAGAAGTGTTTGAAGAAAAAAAATATCTATTTTGTTTGCATTGGCTAAAGTAAAATGAGCTAAAGGCTTTAATAATTTCAAAATTTACCTTCGCATCCGAAGTCTTTGGGATCGGCATTCTTTCGAAGTGGCCGGAAACCTTCTTTGCAAACACATTTATAGCCTTCGTTTGTGTTCACACACACCGTTGAATTGGGGCACAGATTCTCATCTTCGCAATGCGGAAGTTCTACGCAGTGATATATAAATATTTCATTAACTTTTCATGAGCATTTCATTTCAAATATATACAGAGGAAAAACTTTCAAAATTAAGACAGAATAATAACATAAAAATTCTCAAAAACGTGTTTCCGGAAATGTGGAATTTTTTTCAGCAAATAGTCGTAAACGAATCTTTCATCTAAAGTTTATTCTCAATATAGTGGCTTCTAACAATGAGACATGGGGGCCGCTTTTGAAAATGAGCTACACGCCGATTCTAACAACGAGATATGGAAGCCGCTTCTAACAATGAGATGCTGAGGCTGCTTCTAACAATGAGATGCGAGGCTGCTTCTAACAATGAGACATTGGGGCCGCTTTTGAAAATGAGCTACACGCCGATTCTAACAACGAGATATGGAAGCCGCTTCTAACAATGAGATGCTGAGGCTGCTTCTAACAATGAGATGCGAGGCTGCTTCTAACAATGAGATGCTGAGGCTGCTTCTAACAATGAGATGCTGAGGCTGCTTCTAACAATGAGATGCCGAGGCTGCTTCTAACAATGAGATACAGAGGCCGCTTCTAACAATGGAATATGGAGGCCACTTCTAACAATGGAATATGGAGGCCACTTCTAACAATGAGATATGAAGCCAGCATCTAACACTGCGATACGCACCGATTCGAACAATGAGATATGAAGGATGAATACCGCTTAGAGATGTCCAATGAACTAATCTCTGATGGAAGCTTGAGCTGGTGGCGGAAGTTTTATTAATCAGTATGATTCTGTTCTTGTGCAGCTAAATAGGATCATGACTGATAAGCGTGCAGTAATAGAGAGCCCGGCTTTCTTTTCTGCCCCTTTCTACGTTGATGTATTTGGTGTAAACCAGCTGCTTGCACATAGCTCCTTACTACCTGTCGGGAATTAAGATAAACGACCGAAGACTGATTTATTAGGGATTTTTATTTGACCAAAATCCCTTTGGAATCTCTTCTTAACAAAGAGCATCAGAGTTTGAATGACTGATGAACTCCGAAGGCAGTCTGAAGCATTTTCCGATCTTTTTTTGGTTATTTTCTGCAGAATTTATACAATTTCGTTTTATCTATCACACGAGAGTACTATTGATGCTTCTTCAACGTATAAAAAGCATTAATTTTTATCTATTTTTTATTAAACTAGAAAACTTGTTTAGATTTTCTTAATATTTTCGGTACTTTTCCGCTTCGTTGGCGCAGGCGTTAAAGTCGCCAATAATGGTACAACTGATGCCAAATGTAATATCCTCTCTGGTAACCTTTTACGTCTCATTTTTAAAACAATTCGCAGCCATTTCTTATCAGATTGATTGTTTCTTTCAATACTGGCATACAATTAAATAGAATTTTTGCCAGATAGTTTAATTTTATGCCTTAAGGCCATTTGCGGTAATTAAGTCAATTAGGATGCAATCACACCTCTCACCCGAAAGCAAACATATAGAAAAGGCAAAGTCAAGGGTTAAATTCCTCAATTCTAATGAGAATGCACTAGCAAAGTAAAGCACTGCGGTTTTACATAATTTCTGAGTAAGCTATTGGCTATTGGTACGAATTGAAATAATTCTTGCATTTAAACTCGTATTCCAGATTAAGATTTAACTTGAAATTAACGTAGAGAGAATTAGATTAAGATAAAGAGAATTAGATTTACTGAGAGAATTAGATTTTTGTAGCGTAGTTTACGTGAGATGAGATCACTTGGGGTCACGTGATATGAAAAGGCGAATCAGGATGTTGAGCCATGAAAGTCTAATAAATTCTTAAATTAATATCTTTTTACAATTAAGAATTTATTGTCTTTATTTATTGGATTTTTTACAAAATTTTAAACGATATTAAAATGTTTATGCCTTAAAAATAAAACATTCTTAGAATTAAACTTCTTTTTCTTTATTCTTAGAAATGAAACATTCTTCATTTGTTGACATTTTTTATGTGTATTCTGTACGTTGTCGCCAGTAAAGTCTGCTTGGCGAGATTTGCGCCGGCGAAACGGAAAAGTACCATATTTTCTTAGTTTATTGGGCATGAAAAGTAAACAGTGTTATTCTAAGCCATAATCACAGTTTTTAAAACCTTTTTGTTTTAGAACTAAAAAATGTCATAAAGTTTAAAACTTAACTTGAAGTGTTTCTCAAAACACAAGCAATTAGAAATGGCATTAAAAAGCTGAAAATTATGTCAATTAATAATAAAATAAAATATCGTACATATTTTTAATTATTTTCTATGAATAGATTTATCCAGTTTACGCTTTGACGAATTCACTTATTTGTCGAATCCATTTAATACGAGATCGTAAATTGCAACACAGAAGCTGTTCGCACATTTTGTAGACGATTTTCATTGTAATTACTGAATTATTTTACCTAAACGTTTTATGAGTTAAGGGATCTTGATAACCGTTATTCTGCACTATATTTCTATAGCGTAATTTCCAAGACAATAAGACAATAAAATTTTCGTGGAATCTGAAGAGGTATTTTATCCGATTGCTCGCAAAGCTTTCCAAAATCTAAGGAGGTTGTAGATCGACGTTTGAACAATTCGCTTATTAAGAGTCCAAAAGCGCCAAAAGACATTGGTAATAGCTCAAGAGAATTGGTAGGGAGAGGAGGTGGGGAAAGGTATGGGCCTTGATACCCGTTTTTTGCTCCACCTTTTTCCCAGGAAATTAACGGTAGATTTTGACGTGTCGCTGTTTGCTTTGTCCTGATGTAGTTCTAGTGATTGATCGCATTGTCTATAAACGTGTCGCTGTTTGCTTTGTCCTGATGTAGTTCTACTGATTGATCGCATTGTGTGTAAACGTGTCGCTGTGTGCTTTGTCCTGATGTAGTTCTACTGATTGATCACATTGTGTTTAAACGTGTCACTCTTTGCTTTGCCCTGATGTAGTTCTACTGATTGATCACGTTGTGTGTAAAGAGAATTTATTTCATGTTTGAAAATTGGGTATAAAATATGTTTTTGATAATCTGGGGAGTTGTTCTTAATATTTTTCACTACTCTCTTTATTTTCAATTTGCCCTTATATGAAAACCAGCAACAATCCTAAATCCCTTACAAAAACGTTCTTTAGATTCCTTGAACCCTGTTTTAGGAATTTTTTCTCCTCTTTGAGGATGATAATTGGATCTCTTTTTACTGAAGTTATTTAAGTACACACAAGATTCGTCTGTTGTGACAATATTTTACCATTTTTGTCCGGATAAATATTTCTCAAAAAAATTCTCCAGCGCGTTCTGCGTTCGGCGATATGTCGTGGAGAAAGACGATACATATTATGGTTTTTCGTCTGTTTAAGATCCAAATCATCATTAATCGCTTTGTTTACAGTTGACACTGAGCATTTTAATAATGTGCAACCAAAACCAGCAGTCCTTTGAACATCAGAGCCAACAGTCCTTTGAATTGGCGGATTTTCGTTTAACATTAAAGATCTTACTTTTGCAACTTTTGAAACAATCCGTTTTTTCCTTGCATACATATTTGTTTCCACTTGAAGCTAAATTTGAGTTTTTTCCCCTTTGTTGTTGCCAGCATTACCTACGCAGCAAAACATCGGAGTTGCAGTTAAAAACATCGGAGAAGAAATGTTTTTACAGCAAAGCAAAATCGTCTAAAAATGGTCGAACAGCCTCTGCAATGTGTAAAAAATTTACTTATTCTATCTAACCAGTTAAGTTATGAAAGTATGTTGATTGTCATTCTCCGTTTCTGCTTTCCTGCCAAAATATAAATTTTAGTTCCTGCGTATTTAAATGAGCTAGAAAGAGATAGTGTTTAAAGAGAAGTTTTAGATTGCTTAGCAGAGAATGTTTTACCTGCTGAAGGCTACGGTACTAGTTGAAATTTTACGAAAGCAGTCTGCTTTGGCGTTTTTTATCTTACCAATAGTACTTGCATGGCGATATAGGTCTGAGCCATCTTGTTAATCATTTTTGTATAGCCTTTGGTTGATTTACGACTTAGTTTTAGTTAAAATTCCTTACGCTTGATTTACGGCAGGAATGCCGTCTGGATTTGTAAGCACAGGAAATATTCTGTTCAACTAGAGCTCTTAATAAAAGGCCTTTTACACCCGTCTGACATATCTGTTCGATTAGCAAGACACAGTGATAATTCCTTTAGTCGCGGCTAAGTCAAGAGTCTAGACTTAGTGCATGCTTTCCAAAAGAGTGGGACTCTCTAACTTTTAAAACATAAATTAATGAAAATCAATTACATTAATTTCCAATACAAAAACATCGATGAGTGCTGTAACAACATTATATGAGTTTTTTGTCATAGAATATAGAAGTTTTTAGAAACTTGCACGTAATTTCTTGGTTCTAGTCATTGGTTTGTTTGAAACTCTTTCGTGTAAGTAATCGTTTTTCATTTATTTGTACTGATGTTTGTTAACATTCCTTAGAAATATTAAAAATAGGAAAAAACACGATATCCAAAAAAATTAACACAATTCTTTCAAAATGTCGAACATTTATGTAATTTATGAACATTTATGTAAATACTGATGTTATGTGATTGTTATCTCATGTAGTTTTAAGAACTTTGTTTATTTACATTGTTTTTGCAGTCTTCTTATTTATTTACTGACTTGTGTAGTACCTTTTATAAAATAATTTGTTAATTTTTGTTAAATTTTGTGTAATCAAATATGGGGATATTTACAGCTTTTGTGGCTCCATACTACGCTTATTTCGTTGCCGTGTTATATACATCTCTTGATTCTGAATCAACTGAAGTTTGAACAGCAAACACAGATGAGCTAGAAGCAGGTATATGGCCAAACCTCTCCTGACGGGCCTTAGTTTGGAGATTTTTCATCAAATCTTTGGCATTCGAAACATATTCACAACAATTTAATTCTTCCCAGCATCCTTTCCTTCTGAGCATCTGCCAACGATATCGTATTTCCCCGACCAGTGCTTTGAATATGTTTGCTCGATTTTCTTCTCTTCACTCAGTCGTATGACGGGGAAGTGGTCTTGTTACGTTAAAATTTTGCGGTAATAATTCATGTGTGCGATCCCTTACAGGTCGCATTGTTCGAGTTGTTATTTTTATTTACAATATGCGTGACATGCATCATGTCGAAAATGCTTAAATGAAATGATTTAAGTCTGAAAGAAAAGAGTAAATTGCTGAAAGATATTAAATACGTTTGGCAAATTCAGCCGAGAATTTTAATTATTTTTATTAGAATGTTATGATCAATGTACTATGTCATTCAGATTTACTTTCAGTTGCTTAATCTTTTCCAATAAATGTTGCATATTAAAAGTGAATATTAGAAAGTGACTGTGATTTTCGATTACTTGATTGGTATACATTTTAAGTAAGTTTAACGATTTCGAGCTAAACCTGATCACTCTAGATCACATTTTTAAAATCATTCCAAAGGGCTTTTTCTTTTCAAGAACTTGGAGGCGCATATTTTATTCAAAATAACGAAGCCGCATACACAAAAGGTTTCACTGGTACGTAAATCATTTTTCTGTAAATATCGTTAAACAGGAAAGTAAGGAGTGTTTACCCGGAAAATGTTCATCACTGTCACAGAAACTTCGGTTTTACGTATCGGGAAAAGAGATCATATTCATGACATTTTATAGTTAAAAGTAACAATAAAAGGATTATTTCTAAACAAAGCAAAGAAATAAAATCCTAAAATTTGTATTACGGAATGCGTAACATCTTATGCAACGGGTTTCCTTCCTTAAAACTATTAAAATCGAAATTTCTTACTTGAACACAATCCATCTTTGTCCTGCATGTATCCTGTAGGACAAAAACATTTTTTCTGAACTTCATTTCCCCACTCTTCGAAGATGCAATCTATTTCTCCGCCGCACTGACAAGCTGTAAAAAATGAAAGAAGTAAAATAAGAATTGAAGTTTAACGATAAGATTAAATTCTCGTAAAGACTCAAGCTGTTTTTCGTAGATATACATCTTTCAATAATTATCATTTTTAATTGAACGCATAGACCTAAACTATAGCAGGATATATGTATATTACCTATATATGTTATGGTATGTATCTGATTTTTACGTATGTATATGTTTTTCCAATACCTATCGCGTTCAATGGTATGTAGTAGCTGTTTAAACAATAGCAGGCTATATGTATATGCTCCGTACCTACGACGTTTCAAGCCACACCCACTGGGTAGAACTCATTGCAATTTAACTTGGCAAGGGCCATTTGATCTAAATCTTGAAATTCAATGCATTAGTGATTTAATTATGATTGTTCATCACTAGTTTACTACATAACTTAATATATTTTCATATTTTGTTGCCAGCTCTAACAGTCTCAGATGCACTTCTAAATTTCATTGTGTACTCATGTACTATTCTAGCTCCGCCTATAGAGGCGCGGCGGTTACCGCCTTATTCTCATTTTTCCAAGCCTTAGGGCAATACCATGACAGGCAGTTAAAGCAGTGGGCTGCTAAATGCTGTTTAAATCAGATAACTGAACTGAACTGAACTATATCATGGTATGTAAAATATATATATCATGATATGTACATGATGTTTCCTATGCACACTGCGCAAAAAAAAATGGGACAGTTCTATTTCTCTCGTTCGACTGTGCCGAGTGACGAATTCACCTTGCGTTTTTTGTTTCGAAAGCGTGACTTAGGATATATATTAAATTCATATATAGCATTGCTCTAACATAAGTATTTTGACACAATAGTTGACCTTTTCCTAAATAACATGCCAATTCTCTTCCATATTTGGGTTCTAAGACTCAAATTACTCCTAGATATTAATTTTTTTAGTTTTGGTGAAAAATTTATGGAGAAATTTAAAAATGTATCGGGCGAATTTTTTTCAGTTTGCGTCAAGAATAATTCACTTGACGAACTTCTTAATATATAGCAACCTATTTTCTTTTGCCTTTTCCCTCTGTGCACGTCCGATAAAAAAGGCATCGTTTATACTTTCAAATGATTTTGACAAAGCGCGTATACCGCATTTTCGTTATTATCGCATTTAATAAATACGCAAAATTTCAAAACGCGACAAAATGATTTTCACTTATATGTTAGAAAATTTTGAACAAAAAAACTCTACTTTTTTGCAGGTATGTTTAGAAATACATCTAATTTAAGACGATGGCAAAAAATTATAGCTTATAATTCCAAATTTTCTTCGAAAAATTTATAAAAATTATTTAAAAATACAAATTTTAAAAGTAAATTGTACAAGATTGGAGAATGTTATTTGGAAAGAACCTAAATTTCGAAATATGAAAGGAAGCATCAAGTAAGTTTTTTTTTTAAAAAAAGAGATATTAGTAAATATATGTCAAATTCAATTAACATTGAGAAGCTAAATTTTTTAAAAACTACTCGTGCGATTTAATACAAAACTTGGCAGTTTGGCATAATTTGAGTCGTAGAATCGGCCTGTCATTTCAGAAAAAGTCCGCTTTTGTGTCGGTACCTATAGTAGAACAATGCTATATATACACTATAGCAACTACTGCCATGGGATAGCACTATTATGCTACCCCATGGCAGTAGTATACAGATGGCAGTAGTATCGCGTAGAAAATGTATAAAGGCGAAGTGCTTTGGCAGGGCTTTCATTTCGGAATAAATGAATCTCACATTGAGGATTACGATTTGAAAAATGATAGTACTATTTCTGCTTTTATGTGGATTGTAAGAAAGGTAGGGACACCTACTTTCGAAAACATGTGTCAGATGAAAGATCAGCTTCTCGACGAATATAAAATCCTGAATGAAGCCCCCCCACCAAAAAAAAAATGAGCAGATCGTTAGTGATCTTGATACCATATCAGCTAAACTCAAAACATGTGACATGTTTATAAGCATAAATAAACCACTTAAAAGATGCAATAGCAACCCCTCGATTAAAAACACTAATAGTAAGCTTACAGAGAAAAAATGCAACTCTACTGATAATTCACCTAAAAAAGTAATTCAGAATATGAAATCGAAGGAATTAATAGAGAAACAAAGTAATTCTGCTATTAATTCACCCCAAAAATTGATTCAAAACATGAAATCGAAGGAATTAAAAAATGATATCCTATCCCAAAATTTACATAGCACTATAAAACGCACTAATAGCGACAAAAGTAAGAAAAAGAAGACCGAATAGACAAGAAGGATTTAAAATCCCTCGAATTACTAATAAACGCACGTTCTCCGAAACTGAAATTACTCCGCCACTGCAACAAAATAAATATGAAAAGCTTAACAACGAAGAATGAATTGACCAAAATACTGAGGATAACAATGGAGAATTTATATTCCCCCAAAAAACCTCGACTCATATCCCTCCCATAGTACTGCAGGACTTTACTGCAAATTGGGATAAAATGAAAGAGGAACTTGAAACTTTGGGTATTACAAAAATCAAAGGAAACCTAAAACATGGCCGCTATCGACTATTTCTCTTCCCTGGATTATGACATCTGATCCAAACAAGAATTTTCATAAAGTAATCGCTAATAGTAACTGCTTACGTTACGTTACGTTACGTTAATTAATTACGTTCTTTAATGCTAATGGAGTCCAGAAACAAAAGGAAGAAATCAAAATTTTCTTAATTACTAAAAACATCGATATTATGCTACTCAACGAAACCCACCTTAGAAAATCTCACAGGATTAATTTTCCAGGGTACAAGATCATTCGTGATGGCAGGAGTCATAACAGAGGCGGTGGCACTGCAATTATTATTAAAAACTATCTCCGATTTGCTAAATTTGAAATTCCAAACACTGGCAATATAGAAAAAACTGCAGCCATTATTTACAGTGGACTTAATGAAGCATATCTTTTCATATCTGTTTACAACCCCCCAATAATCGACTTAATGATATAGATTTAAATAATCTCACTGCAGCTAATCTTCCCACTTTAATTGCGGGTGACCTAAACGCAAAAAATCAAGCTTGGAATTCAAGATATAATAATACAAACGGAAATTTTCTCAATAATTAGCTACTAAATCAAGATCTGAAAATTATTGCTCCCTTTTCCCCTACCAGAATTCACCATGATGGCACCGGCGACATCTTGGATGTGTTACTTCTTAAAAATATCGATCAAACGCCTCACCTGGAAGTCATTCATGACCTTAACTCTGATCACTTGCCAGTCGCTTTTGATTTCTACGGTTTTTACCCACCTTTAAAGAAACACCTCATCAAGACTAACTGGACTCTGGTTAATAATCTACTCTAAAACTATAACTGTAACAACCATTACCCGCACAGCTGCGCAATAGAAGAGGAAATTCATAAATTCACTACCAATATTCAAAACGCAATATCCAACGCTTCCTACCCTGTTAAAGATAAAAATTCACAAATTCCCCCCACTCAGATTAGAAATACTATTAAACAAAGAAATGAGGCTACAATCTGGCAACAATCTAGAAATCCCGCTGATAAAAGACATCTCAATTACCTCAACCGTAAAATTAAATTGGACATACAAGATTACAGAACAAGGAAGTGGGATCACCTACTTGAAAATTTGGAACCCAACATTGAGAACGTATGGAAAATAGCCCGTTCACTTAAAAATAACAACTGCAACAATGAACATGCTATTGAATACTCTGGAAAAACTTACTACTCAGACCAAGGTATTGCCGACCTCATGGCAGAAGAGCAAGAGAAAATTTCCCAATCTCTCCCTGCTACTAACTCGGATACGGAAGTGGAAGCAAATGACGCAATCAACTTTATTCGAAATTTTACCCCACACAGGCACATTCAGCTCACTTCTCCCAAGGAAATCAAGAATATTATCAAGTCACTTAAGCCGAAGAAAGCGAAAGGATTTGATCAGATTAACAACGAAGCGATAAAAGCTCTTCCTGATAGATGTATTGTTAATCTATGTAACATCATAAATGGATGCATCAGGCTTTCTTATTTCCCTCAACAATGGAAGCACTCTATTGTAATCTTTATCCTCAAACAGGGCAAAAATCCTAATATCAATAGCTACATACCCATCAGCCTTCTATCTGCTATGGGAAAGGTTTATGAAAAAATACTCAACAACAGATTAAATGACTTTCTTGAAAATAATGACATAATTGATAGAATGCAGTTCGGTTTCAGGAAAGGTCATTGTACAACCCATCAAGTACTCAATTTAGTTGAAATTATTGCCCTTGTTTCCAAAAAAAAAAAGAGCGCAGTCGCTGCGTGCTACCTCGATTTTGAGAAAGCTTTTGATCGAGTGTGGCATGCAGGGCTAATACATAAGCTCATCAAACTGGAAATTCCTAACAATCTTAGCAAAATTATTTTTTCATTCATTAAAAACAGAACCTTTCAAGTCCGTATTGGAAATACTTTATCTAAAAAGAAAAGGATGTTTTGTGGCGTCGCTCAAGAAAGTGTTTTGAGCCCCAAACTTTTTAACATCTATATTAATGATTTACCACAACCTCTCAATGCAAAAGTCCTGAAATACGCTGACGATGCAGTCGTCCTCTCGGAGTCTAGAAACCCTCAACTTGCCATCAATAATTTACAGATGCATATCAATAATATTGCACACTGATGCTCAATGTGGAAAATTACACTCAATGCTAATAAATGCAGCACAGTCCTTTATAGAAGATATAAGAAATTGCAAAGTGTAAATACAGAAATTAAAATTAATAATGTTTCTATCCTTCATGCAGATGCTTATAAATACCTGGGTGTCTACATCGACAAACATCTTACTTTCAAAAATCACTTACAATACATCGCAAATAAGGTATTACAATACATCGCAAATATCATTAACTACGACCCAACTATTGAATACACGGTAAAAAGACCTCGTTCAATCCATCATAACGCA